CCAGACCATTGGGTGCCCCGATGGAGCCAAATCATCACTTGGCTCGTTCCCAAGCTCCTGTCCTTGCAGATCCGGAACCGTATCGACGGCTGGTAGGCAGATTGGTCTATCTCTCTGTTACTCGACCTGAGCTCTCCTACGCTGTACATACTTTGGCACAATTTTTGAAAGAACCAAGGGAGGATCAGTGGTCTGCAGCGCTTGGGTGTCCTGGACAGGGCATTTTACTCTCTGCAGATAGTAGCCTTCAGCTTACGGGATGGTGTGATTCAGACTGGGCAGCATGTCCTTTGACCCGGCGATCGTTGACAGGCTGGTTCGTGCAACTTGGGGAATCGCCGGTTTCGTGGAAGACAAAGAAGCAGACAACGGTGGCTCGTTCGTCTGCTGAGGCAGAGTACAGGGCTCTCGCTGTTCTTACCTGTGAGCTGAAGTGATTGAAGAATTTGTTGAGATGCTTGGGGGTTGATCATAGGACTCCTATGATCGTACGTTGTGACAGCACCGCAGCACTTCATATTGCTGCTAATCCGGTTTTTCACGAACGAACGAAGCATATTGAGATTGATTGTCATTTCGTTCGTGATGAGCTTTTACGAGGAGAAATTCGTGCTCTTCATGTGCCTACTACACATCAGCTTGCAGATATTCACACAAAGGCACTTGGAAAGTCACGCATGGAGTTTCTTATTCCCAAGTTGGGCATTTCAGCATTACATGCTCCAACTTGAGGGGGGTGTAAAGGAGGAAAGAGAATATTCAGCATTTATTAGCATTTATTTCCGTATATATTAGTTATGGTAGTTGCCTTGTATAGAGATTCCTTTTCCTTTGTTAATTAGGACTCTTTGCTATATATACGGCTGGATTGTAAATTGTAAAAGACAGAAAGGAATACAAAGATTTTGATTCCGAAACAATTCTTTCAATATATAAATACAAGTCGACTTTTATTTATATAAAGATTTTGATGAAGACTAAAAACTACTCCCTCCGTTCTTAAAAACACTTCCTCTTTCATTTTTTTTCACTTCCAACAAAACACTTCCACTTTCTATTAAAAAACCACTTTTACCCTTACTTTTTCATACCCAACCTATCACATCATACTTTTTTTCTAATAATCTACCCATCACATCTTACTTTTACCCATCACATCAAGGGCAAAATTGGTAGTCAACTACAATTTAACATTTCCTTATTTTCCCACTTTTTCAAAGTAGGAACTCTTTTTGAGAACGGAGGGAGTAAAAATTTAACGCAATGATCTCACAAAGTGTGGCGATGTGTACGTGTTAGTTGATTTTGCTTGGGATGGAGCGTTTATAATGAATAATTTTGCTTTAATTCTGAGGCGCCGGATCGCGCACTCAAAGATTAATAGTAAATTTGGAGATTAAATGAACTGTTTGGAGATAAAAACGGTTGTACTTGAAGGTGGGTTCTGTCACATCTAAACAGTGGCGGAGGCAGGATCGAATCCTTGCGGGGGCACAATTACGGTCATCAGGAAGCAAAAATCATTTTAAAAATACGGAGTAACAAAAAATTCTAATAATAGTACCAAATTTAATAGGAAAAGAGTAAATTTACATACAACTATATAAGTACCTTTTATTTGTGTAATGAGGAAGAATTGTTTTGGGGCCATAGAAAATTTTTTCGAGATGCCAAGAGCATTTTGCTAAGTATCTTTTTCTTATGGTATCTCTACTTTTCAAATGCATAAGTATTAATTACTTTTTGTAATCCCAGATTAGCAATAATATCATCATCTAAACCCACACTTTCTTACTCCAAAAAAAAAATTTCCTTGTCTTTATCATTTAGCAAAGATAAATTATTTAGTTGTCTAATTAAAAATTTGTCCATCTCAAGAATTTCTAATTTGCAGCAATATAAATAAATCATTGATGAAACAAATACTCCGTAACAATTTATTGTAATTTAACTCTAATACTCCCTTTATCCCTAAAAGATTTCCACAGTTTAAGTTTTTTGGTCAAACTGTGTCAGTCTTTGACCGTGAATTATGGAAAAGGTATATTTAATAAATTTTGTAAAATTTAATTTATTTTAAAATATAGTTATAAAATATCAAATTTTAATAATATTTAATTATTTTAAGTTATATTTAATAGTACCACAATTTGACTAAAAAAATCAAACTACGGTAATCTTTTAGTGACGAAGAGAGTATTACCTAAATTCAAAGTACTACTTTTAACAAATACAAAGTATTCAAAAATTGAAACAGAATAATAACAATAAAAAAGTAATTAAACAAAAAATTAAAACATGAATAAGGAACACCTGGGGTTTGGCTTAAGTAGTCCGATCACATATTTTAGGCATTTGTGGTTCATTGGTTTGGAATTTGAATCGTGGCAGCCGAATAAGCTCCATGGTATTAAAGTATTCCGTAATTTTTTTTGGGCAATTAGGCTTCGTGCAGTGTTGGGCTGGGTCAAAGCCCAAAGGAATTTTTAAAAACCTTTATAAAACGATGCCCTACGGTGCCGTTTGTTTATTTTCTTCTTCGGCGATTGTTCATCTTCTTCGAGCGGCTGCTAGACCAGAGAGGCAGATACTAGAAGTTGAAGCTGGGACAAATCTGGGGGTGGCAAATCCGGCCTCCCATCGCTGATAGCTACCCTAATCCTATTTCGCCGGAATTTCGCCGGGGGCACTTGCCCAGCCATGCCCCCCTCTCCTCCGCCCCTGCATCTAGACCTGGCAAAACAGAACCGGAACCGATTACCCGAACTGAATTATCCGAAACCAAAGCCGAAATGATTCGAAAAATGAAGATTCGATCTATAAACGAAAACCCAAAATAATTCGAATCGAACCAAAATCGAACTAAATAATCCATTAATCCATATCTGATTTAAATCCAAAACCGATTAGATCCGAAACTGATCATATCCGAACTCATTAAACCCGAAACTGATTAGATCCAAAACTGATAATACCCGAAACCTATAAACTCGAGACCGATTAGATCCGAAAGCAATAATATCCGAACCCAATTAGAACTAAACCCGATAAATTCAGAACTGTGTTTACCTTTCAATAAATTGGATTACCATCTTGACAAAAAATTACAAAATCTCATGCCTTAAATTTATTACTCCCGTTATTCCATAAAACTTTTCCCCCTTTTCTATCACTTCATACGTTTTTACTGATAACCAATATATCACATCTTACTTTTCCCCCTTTTCTATCACTTCATACGTTTCCAAAATCTCATGCCAACTATTTTGCTATTAACAAAATTAAAGGGAATAAAATATTTGAAAAATAAGGTGAAGCATCAATTGAAAGAAATTAAGTCTAAGAGTTGAAGGTGAGTGGGAATTGAGAAATAGGTTGAATGGTGGCATAAGAAAATTGATAAAATTAAGGAGCGAAAGTAGTAAAAAGGAATGGGGGAAACTTTGAGCTTTGGGGGGGAAATTAGACATAAAAAATTTAGTCTTTGATTAGATATTATATAAAAAATACAGTAGTAATTTCAGTTTTAAGTTACAAAATCTAATTAAAACATTCTTATTTTGAAGAAACCCCCCCCCCTATCTGAGAAAGAATCATACACAATGCAAAACAAAGCAAAAATTTTAAGTTTTTAAAATTATTTTTTTAAAGATTGATATAGAAATAAATAAGTGTTTACATATTTAAAAAAATGAGTCAAGGGTTTTACAAAATAAGATGTTAGAAGAATAATAGATAATTTTATCAAATAATAAATGATAATGCACAAACAAATTTAAAATTTCTGTAATTTTTAAATAGTAAAGTGTAACATTGTTTTTGGGACGAAAGGATTATATGATAAATTGTATTGAATAACTAGATTTTATCCTAATTTCATTCAATTACAATAAATTTAATTGGTTTGAGAGTTAATTTGATTAGTTTCAAACCAATTCACTCAATATTAGTCAATAACATTATATGTCAGTGTTAGTTTTTTAAAAAGGCTCTCTAGCGGCAGAATTTAGTATTATTATTTCCAAAATTGATCTACACCATTGCGTTTGGGTGTAAAACTAATTATATTCAACTATATTGAATTTAATTTTATCTAATTTCAACCAAATACACTCAAATAATTTATAAATTTTGCACTCAATTGAATAAAATTCACTTAACTTCCCCCAATTTCTCTCAATTTTTACCAAATTATATTCAATTGGAGCGTAACACTATTTGAATTTATCTTTTCATTTATAAATATAAATATTTTAGTAGATGCATGTGAGAATAATTTGATATATCAAAACTAAAATTTAAAATCAATTTAATTATATTAAATTTATATCATGATTAAATATATATATATATATATATATATATATATATATATATTCATAATTTGTAGTCCAAATTTGTAAAATATGACTAAAAAGTCAAAAAAGGAAGATTATTTACGGTAGAGATAATATAATTAGAAAAAAATATTAAATAATATGAGGCATTGAATTGATTATAAATTGATAAATGTGATAAAACATAAAAAGAAACATGGATAATTAAATTTTAATTAGAAAATACGAAGTATATAATATGCAGAGTATATCCAAACATATTTGATTGAAATATATCTGAACTGAAACATATCCAAAACCGAAATATATCCAAACCTGTTATATTTTTTTCCAGGTTTTCCATTGTGGGATAGACTCTGGCACTGAACACTATGAATATCGCCTCATTGTTGGGAGTGTTTAAAGAATCACCTCTAAATTGCATAATAATATAGGACATAAACTTATATATAGATTTTCCATGTTAAAGGCTTCAGGGTACCCATACGTATCACTACCACATACATAAACACTTCACTATTATAAACTACAATGCAACAATAATGCCAAGCAAAAGACTTACCTCTACATTTATGCATGCATGCATGCATGGAACCCCCTCTCGGCCCAAATATGTGTACATGGAAATGCTAATAATAAGTCAATATATATATATGTATAATAATACTCCATACTAGTTAATAAGGCTGTCTATTAATCCAGCGATCACTATCAATGAAGTTGATGCTTGTGAAATAGTTGACAAGTTGTGGACTCAAATGTGCTTCCCAAGAGACTCTATTCGACATATCCGATCCTTCCCCGTAGCATCCCACCTCTGCAAACGTCAACAGTTTCCTGGATGATCATCACATCATAGCCATTAAGTTATATATACCCCGGTGTATATATTAGGACTATGATATTGCTCAAAATTAAACATATACTCCCTTCGTCCAACAAAACATTTCTTGTTTTGATTTTTAAAGGATTTAATTAAGAGGAGTGTATTTTGGTGATGATTTTCCAAAAATGTCCTTGGATGTGATAGTTAAAAGTAGGTGTGGTAGGTAGTCTAATAGTAAAAAAGTGTTATGTGATAGGTTGGTTAAGAATTTATAGGAGTAAATTAAAAGGGGGGCGGTTCAGGTGAGAATGCACCTTGGTGAAAGAAATAAGAATAAAATCTAGCCTTTAGATCTGATGCATCGTGCGGCTCAGATTGCATTCTGCACTCAGATTCTGAGACAGTGCATTTTTAAAGGATTTTGGTGCATTTCGACATGATGCATTTTCAAATCATTTTGGTGCACCTAATTTTGATGCAATCCTGACCCTTTGATCTCACAATCTAAAGCACCAGATTCATTCTTATTTCTTTCATAAGATCGCATTCTCACTTGAACCAAAATCAATTAAAAGGGTTTTTTTTAATAGAAATGAGAAAAGTTTCTTAGGACGAATGAAAAAAGAAAGAAAAAAGGTTTTGTAGGACGGATGGAGTATATGAATTGGGATCTCATAATAATTTTGTGTGTGCACATATGCATTTATAAAACTATATATACATCATAAAAATAAAACATAAACTTTAAAGTTAGGATTTAAAGTGAGGAATTTTGTGAAGAAATGAAGGTGTCTTACTCATAACCTTTGCTGTACCAGGCATCCCAACCTTGAGGAACAATGATGTTGGGGAGAGAGGAATTGAAAAAAATAGTCCTGGCATAGCTTCTCCATGCCCTTCCCAAGTAAGCCCTGCCATTCCCTGTCACAACGCAATTCTTAAACACAAATGCATTGCTGTCCTGCTCACCTGACCTTCCTTGTGCTGTTATGAACCCTGTGATGCCTCCTCCTCCAATTGATCCCGCATTCACCACTATCGTACACTCCTAATAATTAAGAATATAATAATTAATACTGAAAAGAGTAAGTTCCATAAAAGGTGCCGATTAGCACACTGTTTTCAATATTTAGTCTTTATTTACTCCCTCGTCCTTATATAAGCATATCTTTTCATGGTTAGCAGATTGCATTTAGATCGTCGTATGCAAAAAGACAGAGATAATAACTTTTCTTTTCTGTGATGACGAGCAATGTTCATCTTCTTGTGTTCTTGAATTTGTGTGAGTACTTGGCAAGAGGTAAAATATAAAGTTTGAGGTGTTTAATTTAAGGGTTGTCAAAAATGAAGAAAAATTCATGGAAAGAAACAATAAGGACATGTGAGCTCTTAATATGGAGTATAAAAATTAAGGAGCCCAAAAGCTATTATGAAAAGGGTAAAATTGAAAATTTAGGGTAAAACTTACGGAAGCTCTTTGGACTTAAAGTACCCTCAAAATATTTTACCACAATTTTAAACACGTATATTTTGCAAAAAGTAGGACTCGGGAATTCTTAGCACAAAATAGAAGGTATCCATGCAGCAATTTGATAGTAATATTCAAATAAATAGTTTAAATATAATATCATAAATAGTTAATTTTACCCTTAAAAATATAAAATAAAAGTGGATTTAATAACACCCTTATTAATTCTAAAAGTGGAGTCAAAGAACTCATTTTGCAGTTCTTTTGTTTCAACTTTCAACCCAACGAACCGGTCATAGTTAATTATTCTTTTTATGAGCATGAGATACACATGATAGAAATTAGAAATACTATCATACTCCCTCGGTACGAATATATTGTGGACGTCAAGAAAAACTAAGGGGAAAAGCCCTAAATGTAAAACATTAAAAATATACTAAAATATTCCCTTGTTTCAATAATATTTTCTATTTCATTTTTTTCACTTTCAACAAAATACTTACACTTTCTATTAAAAAACAACTTTTACCCTTACTTTTTTCCTATCCTATCTATCACATCATACCTTTTCTCTTATAATTTATCCATTACATCTTACTTTTACTCATCACATTAAGGGCAAAATTGAAAATCTACCATTTAACACTTCCTTATTTTTACACTTGGTCAAACTAGGAACCCTGTTTGAGAACGGAGGGAGTAAGAGTTACATGCTTTTATGCTTGAAATATAAGTTAAAATATACATATAATGTCAATCTTGACTATATACATTACTAAAAAATATTGTGAATATCCACATAGATTGCATGCATATTACCACAACATAAACTCTTATTTTGAAGATAAAAATATGAAGTTATTATTTTGAAACTTTATCTATATTTTACTCTTATTTAGAGTGATTTTCTAAAACTAAGGTTGTGTGATGATACTAATTTTTTATAGAAAAATAAAATATATGCAAATCAGACACAAAAATACACTGAGGCGAAAAGAATACTTAATCATTCAAAATGAACACTTTTGGTGGGAAGTTAAAAACAAACATGCATTGATTATGGATTGAAGCTATCTGGTTGAAGTCAACAGGTTCAAAGTACGACTTTAATTTGGGCATTCCCTATAAATTACTGCAATTAAATACTAAACCCTCCCAATTAATTAAATAAACACATAGTAATAATAAACTCAAGAAGTACGTGTGTGTACCTCATAAATAGTCTGACCGGCACCAAAGATGAAGTCTGTGGCTCCTTCGATGGTGCAACGCTTGAAATAATGTCTCCCCGTCGCATCTAACAATGTGTCTTGCACGCCGGAGAAACCACACCAGTAGAATGCCGTTTTGTCGCCGGTGATCATCGCCGCCACCGCAGGTTTTATGTTTGCCGCCCCGCGACCCGGTGGATAGTTGTAAGAATTCTGTCCAAATAAGACTTACAAGTCATAATTTTTTTTAAAAAAAAATATGCCCTCTTTTTATTATTTGTCAATTTGTTTAATAATCTTTTGTCCCATTTTACTCATTGAGTTTGAACTTTTCAAATCAAATTCAACGAACTTTTAATCATCAATTACTTTCAACTTCTGTTTCAGATTAATACAATCAAAATAAAATTTTAAAAATTTTCAAAAAGATGGGTAAGTTTAATGAAATCATTTTATACTACTCCCTCCGTCCCATGAAACATGAGAGTTTTGCTTTTTAGGAGGGATTTAAGGGGGGTGTATTTTAGTATTGAATTTCCAAAAATGTCCTTTGATGTGATGAGTAAAAGTATGATTTGATGGATAGATTATTAGTAAAAAGGTATGATGTGATAGTTAGGGTATGAAAAAGTAAGGGGTAAAAGTGACTTTTAAATAGAAATGAGAAGTGCTTTGTGGGACAGATAAAAAAAGAAAGGAGAAAGGTTTATGAGACGGATGGAGTAATATATTACGGAGTACAATTTCTATTAAATTGAAGTCCAAATTAGGTTTGTTTAGTTTGATTTAGAAAAAATGCATGAAACTCTTTATTTGGGGGGGTGGGGGTTTTAATATGTACCACAAATTGAAGGTATTCAACTTTGATGTTGTCTGCATGGGATGTGAAAGTTGGGCTTGCAACGATTGAGTCACTATCACCCCAAACAATGCTAGGCCTTTGCATCCCCTCTCCCTTGAGGTAAATGTATGGTTTGTCAATAGGAATTGTCACCTTTTCTCTACACACATATATAAATAACATCACTTATTAATGCAACATATTTCATTCAAACTAAAACATGAAGCATGGTTGACTCTTTTCAAAAACTCCAAACAATTTAATTAGATTAACCTAAAGCACTTGTACATATATATGTAAATATTAGGATTTTTATACGCAAAAATTCTCAAAATTTAATTTGTTAGAGTACGAGCAAGAGTTTACTCTTTTCGATCGTCATACTATATATAAACTTTTTAGGCTTGATCAAATTGGTTTTTTTACAAACTTTGATTACCATAATATAAAAATTAAACTATATAAGAACAAAGTTGTATGATATGATAAAAGCATAATAAATTAACAAAAAGAAAAAACATATACTTGTAGGTGCCGGGCATGATAGAGATCCGGATCCAACGGGTATTGTGGGAAGGAATTGAATCAATGGCGGATTGGATGGTCGTGAAATGGGCGCCCGCAAGGCCCGACTGGGCAACGTAGATAGTTGAGTAAAGCGTGTCATCTTCTCCTCCACTACATACGAACCCGCTCACAAATGAGAAGAACAAGAAAAGTAATGGACGGTGCAGATTCCTGTACATGTTTGTTTGAACACCTGCAAAAGACCGAATGGGTACCCGAAAAAAAATTATGGTGGATTTTTCATATAATTGTAAAGTTTACTTATTTAGCGAGAGGTGTGTGTGTATATATATATATAATATGCAGTTGATCGAATTGGAAAGTCAAAGATTATTATAACGCTTTAATTAGTATAAATATAGTAGTACTTAATTATTTATTTATGTGACGTAAATAAATTATCAAGTAGTAGAAATTGGATCATTTATTTATTTAATCTCTGAGAGGATTTTCTGCATGAAACCTGCCTTTTTAACCTCGTCAATTCACATGCAAAGAAGATTATTTTGTGCTATATTCAATTATAGATTTGGGACTTCTTCCGCCATCAGCATTTATAGTTTTGCAATATTTTTAGTTTAGGAAATTAAAAAAGGTAACGGTTTCTTTTAGGATACTTCTTTTTTTGACACCAGCAAAAACAGCTCACTTATTATTCAAGTCAAAGATGAGTACATCCAAAAGCACCGGATGGAGGTTTTTGCTCTTAGCCTTAGCTTTGTTGGTATGCAAGATCTTAGGTTTTATGTTAACAAATATTTGCCCTTCGTTTTATGATAATGTTTCCCTTTACAGCTTTACTAATTAGTCAAATATATTCGATCACTTTGTCTATGGAAAATTTACTTAAATAATACTAAAACATAGTGATTTTTTCATTGTGGATACATAACTTTTTATTTCTTAATGCAGTACCACTGGTCATTGTACATTGGTCATTGTTCAAGTAAATATCCACAGTCACTAGACATTGTTCAAAGTTCAAACTAAATATCTACTATCACTAGATATTTTTCTTGTTACTAGACATTATTCAAATACTTTTTAAAAAATAAAAAATTTTAAGTATTACTCCCTCCGTCCACCTAAGATCTTCCCATTACGCGTTACGAGGCTTGACCGACTTTATTTTTAATTCAATTTAATTGATTATAGGATTAAAATTTTAAAATAAAATTTATATAGTAACAAACTACATGAAAAGTTCTATAAAACTAGAGGTGACAAGACTATATTATTTTACGAAATGACTAGTAAAAATGAGCAAATAAAGTGAGTGAAGTTTGACCCTGTGAATAGTGACTGGGAAGATTTATGGTGGACAGAGGGAGTACATTAGAAAATAACATATATACTTCCTCCGTCCCTAAAAGGTTTCCCTTATTGACTTTTACAATATGTTTGGTTCAAGGATTTTTGAAAGAAAAAAAAAAGAAAATGATTTTCTCTCATTTTCCTCACCAAAATGGGAGGAATTTGGTTTTCCCTCGACTTAAAACATTTGTCTTCTCATTTTCTTTTCCTCCAACTTTTCCTCTCCAATCAAACATGAAAAACTTTTTTCCACTTCATTTTCTTTTCTCTTCCCTTTCAAATTCCTTGAACCAAACATATTGTTAAGGAAATTAAGGGAGTGATATTTTTGTGTTGACTTTCCAAAAATAATCTTAATGTAATGGGTAAAAGTAAGATTTGATGGAAAGATTATTACTAAAAAGTAAGAGATAAAAATGGTTTTTTAATATATAAAAGAACATCTTTTGGGGACAACAAAAAAAATGAAAGAAGAAGATAGTAGCTTTTAGGGACGGAGAGACTATCGTCAAATAAGGGAAATATGCCCAGAATATCATTGCTGTTGATTTTTGTGCACAAATAATCAGATGCCTCGAAGCTATTGGCTTACTACTGACGCAACTAACTGAGCCAGCACTGATCTAGCTAGCCTTCTTAATTGGAGCTCTGGGTATCCTTGGAACCACTGAATGGTCTCTTACTTCTTGGACATTCAGGTCCCAAGTTCCCTCGTAGCCTGATTTATCCAATCTATTGCAATCTGGAGTTTGGAGATTTTATCCCCAATTCATAAACACTTTCGCACCCTTAGATATGGATCAGAGCTAGCATTTAGGTCCATGCATTATGAAGTGTAATGACTTCAAGTCAAAAAAATAATTACACCTTGGTGGTTTAAGAATACTAAGTACATGTTACTTCTAAGGCGCGTGTAGTATTCTCATGACGTGTATGTCAGGTTCGGTAACATACTACATTCGTCCAAGTGGATTCATTTATTTTGACTTTTTTGAGTCAAACTAGATTAATTTTGAAATTTAATTAAAAAAACTATAAAGTATACTAGTATAAAAATAATTTAATTAGATTTCTGGAACTTTCGAAATCTTATTTCATTGTATTAATATGCACTACAAATTGAGAATAATTAAATATAAAAATTTGTTTAGTTTGACTAATACATTAGGACGAAGTCTCAAAGAGAATATCATCACCATAAGATATTGGGCATTTTAGACATAGCACTAGACATTGGGCATTTTAGACATAGCACTAGACATTGGGCATTTTGAATATATGTACTAGTCTCCATTCATTGATGATGTTTGTATTATCATAACACTAGACATTAGGCATTTTAGACATAGCCCTCCGAAAGATTATTGCATCAACTCATAATGAAAACATTGTAATCCTCATCTATGTTGTGGACTAAAGCTACGTTTATATACCCGAGGTATATAAATAATTTTCAATGCATTTATTGATGATAAATATACAGATCCTATCCGTAAATGATTGGCCACTAAGTCACTAGGACATACAAATAGAACACATATTTTTCGAGAGAACCCCTTTGTTCAACCAGTGAATTACTTAGAAGGACGTAAGAGGATGGTCCTTTGGGACATTTTGGTTAAAATAAAATAATGAACATTAGTAGTGACCAAAAAAATGAAAGGGGTGAATAAAATTGTATCATCTTCCATTCTATAAATGTAATAAATCTCGTGTTATGCCTCATGTGTTATATACGTCCTTTCTGATTTTTACCGAACCTTGGGTAGATATTTCTATAGATTTCATTTTGGATTTACCTGCAATGAAATCGGTTTGTGACCCCATTTCCATATATACCGCAGTACACTAAAATTCAAAGTATTGCCAAAATTAAAGAAACTTGTGCATGATATCAAAGAAAGTTGGACACTTACTATCCCTAATTCACTAAATCAGAACCTTTTCAGGGTGCATTCATTCGGTTCAACATCACAAATCACAGTGCCAAAAGATTTTAGCAACAATAATAACCATAGATTATCAAAAACCTCTTTCTAGAGCCAAAACTTGCACACAACCACAAAGATACAGATAGCTATCAAAACTCAGTCCTCGTCCATTCCTCCTCCCGGTTGTGCTCCTCTCCTTGGACCGCCAGCTGGTTTTGCCATTATAATCTGCACCATGATCAAATTTCAGATCAACAACCCAAATAAATCTCACAAGGGTAGGGTCTAGGGAGTGTGTACAAAAACCTAAACCCTACTCGAAAGTAGAGAGGATGTTTCCAAGAGACCCCTTGCTTGATTAACACATAGCATAGCAAGCACAAAGCACGCAAAAAAAGGTAAAAGCAAACTAATGTGAACGAAGGAAAATGCAAATAAAAAGCACAGAACTACAAGTGCAATAACTACCAAATGCAAACGCCTACCCTACCACCTTATTCCTAGCTCTCCAAATCAATTGACGAATAACAAAAATGTTACGGAGTACTCTGTACCTTTTACTTGGGTGCATGTTTTTCTTCACTTTTTCTCTGTTTTGTTACATTTTTTGTCATTCTCAATTTATGAAAAAAAACCCTATACAACTCGAGATCCTTTTTCCTTGATCATGTGCTTTCCCTGTAATTTAATTTTTGTTGGTTGGTAGGAATGAAATTTCTAAGAACTCATTCTAGTGTTTGGTTTATGAATGGAATAGAATGGGAATATTATATGCAAAAAGAAAGATACAACTATCTTGTCTTGTTATACATGTGTTGTTACTCCTTTTGAAAGTCTAAGGGTAAAAATATCTCTATTCAATCCAACCTTTCTTATAGATTGACATGAAAAAAACAATACCATGATTCATTTAATGGGTGAGGGGTGCCTTTTGCCATTTTGCATGAAATGAGAGAAAGGATGTTCCTCAACCTCTCAGTTTTTATAGGGGTAAGGTTGTATACACTTTGAACTCCAAGACCCCAACAAAGTTGGGATTATATCGGGTTTGTTGTTGAGGGAAAAAATGTTCCCAAAGAAAGTTCGTACATTTATACCAAAAATTAGAATATCTCTTATTTGACAATTGATTGAAAGAGAATTTGTTGTGTCACCTTAAATCCAACTTCAGTGCACAAAAGTAATACAGCAGTAAAATAATTGTCGTATTTATTACAATAAATGATGAAAACACTGGCGAATTTTTTGTGCTGGGTGTATGAACTTTTATTGAGGACCTTTGCGACGGTGTTTGTACATGTGTATGCAGAGTGTACAAAAAAATACTACGGAATATACACACACACTCAGACTCCCTCCATCCCTAAATAGACTTTGGCTTACAGTATCAGATGTTTGACCAAAATGATTTTCCATTCAGTTTTTATTTGAACATTGGTGTCAAATTGAAAAATAAAACTTATATTACGGGTATATTTTAAAAATTAAAAATACAAAAAAGTTCTTCATAAAAGAAGGTGACATGATTATGTTATTCTAACCAATGGTAAAGTAAACAAGCAAAAACAAGATATAATTTTACCTTGTGAATGGTGAAAGTAAGTTAAATTTTATTTAGGGACAGAGTGAGTGTGTGTGTGTAGCTCAATCTGACTCTTAACAGTTAACACACTATTAAGTAATGTGTTAGACTCAGAACCTAGAATGTAATCTGTAAACAGTTCGGCTGTCTCAATGGAATCTAATCATGTGGTCCAGAGTCCACACTTCATAATAGAGAGCTACTCATAAAAAGAGATTCAGGAATAATAAACAGCTAATTACCTGGTCCACTCGTAGCACAGTGCAGACAGCATCCGCAGCATATTTGAGAGCAAAAAACCTAGTCAACACAAAGACATAACCCATCAATGATACAAACATTGTAGGAAAAAGATGCACATAACTAGTGGCATTGTTTGCATCATTGAAAATCTATAATGCTATGAAATTGATATGTCGAATGACTAAT